GTCTAAACAGCTGTCTGTGTGCATGTCGACAACTGTAGTTAAAGCTCACCTGGTACGGTCTAAACAGCTGTCTGTGTGCATGTCGACAAGTGGCGGTAGAAGCTCACCTGGTATGGTCTAAACAGCTGTCTGTGTGCATGTCGACAACTGTAGTTAAAGCTCACCTGGTATGGTCTAATCAGCTGTCTGTGTGCATGTCGACAAGTGGCGGTAGAAGCTCACCTACTATGTTCTAAGTACCTACTTGTGTACATGGTGACAACTGGAGGCAGAAGCTCACCTGGTGTGATATAAGTTGCTGGTTGTGTGCATGTCGACAACTGGAGGCAGAATCTCACCTGGTATGGTCTAAGTAGCTGTCTGTGTGCATGTCGACAACTGGCGGTAGAAGCTCACCTGGTATGGTCTAAGTAGCTGTCTGTGTGCATGTCGACAACTGGCGGTAGAAGCTCACCTGCTATGGCCTAAGTAGCTGTCTGTGTGCATGTCGACAACTGGAGGCAGAAGCTCACCTGGTGTGATCTAAGTAGCTGTCTGTGTGCATGTCGACAACTGGAGGCAGAAGCTCACCTGGTATGGTCTAAGTAGCTGTCTGTGTGCATGTCGACAACTGGCGGTAGAAGCTCACCTGGTATGGTCTAAGTAGCTGTCTGTGTGCATGTCGACAACTGGCGGTAGAAGCTCACCTGGTGTGATCTAAGTAGCTGTCTGTGTGCATGGTGACAACTGGAGGCAGAAGCTCACCTGGTGTGATCTAAGTAGCTGTCTGTGTGCATGGTGACAACTGGAGGCAGAAGCTCACCTGGTGTGATCTAAGTAGCTGTCTGTGTGCATGGTGACAACTGGAGGCAGAAGCTCACCTGGTGTGATCTAAGTAGCTGTCTGTGTGCATGGTGACAACTGGAGGCAGAAGCTCACCTGGTGTGATCTAAGTAGCTGTCTGTGTGCATGGTGACAACTGGAGGCAGAAGCTCACCTGGTGTGATCTAAGTAGCTGTCTGTGTGCATGTCGACAACTGGCGGTAGAAGCTCACCTGATGTGATCTAAGTAGCTGTCTGTGTGCATGTCGACAACTGGCGGTAGAAGCTCACCTGCTATGGCCTAAGTAGCTGTCTGTGTGCATGTCGACAACTGGAGGCAGAAGCTCACCTGGTGTGATCTAAGTAGCTGTCTGTGTGCATGTCGACAACTGTAGTTGAAGCTCACCTGGAATGCTCTAAGTAGCTGTCTGTGTGCATGTCGACAACTGGCGGTAGAAGCTCACCTGGTATGGTCTAAGTAGCTGTCTGTGTGCATGTCGACAACTGGCGGTAGAAGCTCACCTGCTATGGCCTAAGTAGCTGTCTGTGTGCATGTCGACAACTGGAGGCAGAAGCTCACCTGGTGTGATCTAAGTAGCTGTCTGTGTGCATGTCGACAACTGGAGGCAGAAGCTCACCTGGTGTGATCTAAGTAGCTGTCTGTGTGCATGTCGACAACTGGCGGTAGAAGCTCACCTGCTATGGCCTAAGTAGCTGTCTGTGTGCATGTCGACAACTGGAGGCAGAAGCTCACCTGGTGTGATCTAAGTAGCTGTCTGTGTGCATGTCGACAACTGGAGGCAGAAGCTCACCTGCTATGGTCTAAGTAGCTGTCTGTGTGCATGTCGACAACTGGAGGCAGAAGCTCACCTGGTGTGATCTAAGTAGCTGTCTGTGTGCATGGTGACAACTGGAGGCAGAAGCTCACCTGGTGTGATCTAAGTAGCTGTCTGTGTGCATGTCGACAACTGGCGGTAGAAGCTCACCTGCTATGGCCTAAGTAGCTGTCTGTGTGCATGTCGACAACTGGCGGTAGAAGCTCACCTGCTATGGCCTAAGTAGCTGTCTGTGTGCATGTCGACAACTGGAGGCAGAAGCTAACCTGGTGTGATCTAAGTAGCTGTCTGTGTGCATGTCGACAACTGTAGTTGAAGCTCACCTGGAATGCTCTAAGTAGCTGTCTGTGTGCATGTCGACAACTGGCGGTAGAAGCTCACCTGCTATGGTCTAAACAGCTGTCTGTGTGCATGTCGACAACTGTAGTTAAAGCTCACCTGGTACGGTCTAAACAGCTGTCTGTGTGCATGTCGACAAGTGGCGGTAGAAGCTCACCTGGTATGGTCTAAACAGCTGTCTGTGTGCATGTCGACAACTGTAGTTAAAGCTCACCTGGTATGGTCTAATCAGCTGTCTGTGTGCATGTCGACAAGTGGCGGTAGAAGCTCACCTACTATGTTCTAAGTACCTACTTGTGTACATGGTGACAACTGGAGGCAGAAGCTCACCTGGTGTGATATAAGTTGCTGGTTGTGTGCATGTCGACAACTGGAGGCAGAATCTCACCTGGTATGGTCTAAGTAGCTGTCTGTGTGCATGTCGACAACTGGCGGTAGAAGCTCACCTGGTATGGTCTAAGTAGCTGTCTGTGTGCATGTCGACAACTGGAGGTAGAAGCTCACCTGGTATGGTCTAAGTAGCTGTCTGTGTGCATGTCGACAACTGGAGGCAGAAGCTCACCTGGTGTGATCTAAGTAGCTGTCTGTGTGCATGTCGACAACTGGAGGCAGAAGCTCACCTGGTATGGTCTAAGTAGCTGTCTGTGTGCATGTCGACAACTGGCGGTAGAAGCTCACCTGGTATGATCTAAGTAGCTGTCTGTGTGCATGTCGACAACTGGAGGCAGAAGCTCACCTGGTATGATCTAAAGTAGCTGTGCTGTGTGCATGTCGACACCTGGAGGCAGAAGCTCACCTGGTGTGATCAGAAGCTCACCTGGTAGCTGTCTGTGTGCATGTCGACAACTGGAGGCAGAAGCTCACCTGGTGTGATCTAAGTAGCTGTCTGTGTGTGCTGGAGGCAGAAGCTGTCGACAACTGGAGCAGAAGCAGAAGCTGCACCGACAACTGGATCAGAAGCTCACCTGGTAGCTGTCTAAGTAGCTGTCTGCATGCATGTCGACAACTGGAGGCAGAAGCTCACCTGGTGTGATCTAAGTAGTCAGAAGTGTGCTGTGTGCATGTCGACAACTGGAGGCAGAAGCTCACCTGGTGTGATCTAAGTAGCTGTCTGTGTGCATGTCGACAACTGGAGGCAGAAGCTCACCTGGTGTGATCTAAGTAGCTGTCTGTGTGCATGTCGACAACTGGAGGCAGAAGCTCACCTGGTATGGTCTAAGTAGCTGTCTGTGTGCATGTCGACAACTGGAGGTAGAAGCTCACCTGGTATGGTCTAAGTAGCTGTCTGTGTGCATGTCGACAACTGGCGGCAGAAGCTCACCTGGTGTGATCTAAGTAGCTGTCTGTGTGCATGTCGACAACTGGAGGCAGAAGCTCACCTGGTGTGATCTAAGTAGCTGTCTGTGTGCATGTCGACAACTGGAGGCAGAAGCTCACCTGGTATGGTCTAAGTAGCTGTCTGTGTGCATGTCGACAACTGGAGGCAGAAGCTCACCTGGTGTGATCTAAGTAGCTGTCTGTGTGCATGTCGACAACTGGAGGCAGAAGCTCACCTGGTGTGATCTAAGTAGCTGTCTGTGTGCATGTCGACAACTGGAGGCAGAAGCTCACCTGGTGTGATCTAAGTAGCTGTCTGTGTGCATGTCGACAACTGGAGGCAGAAGCTCACCTGGTGTGATCTAAGTAGCTGTCTGTGTGCATGTCGACAACTGGAGGCAGAAGCTCACCTGACTAAGTAGCTGTCTGTGTGCATGTCGACAACTGGAGGCAGAAGCTAACTGTCTGTGTGCATGTCGACAACTGGAGGCAGAAGCTCACCTGAAGCTCACCTGGTGTGATCTAAGTAGCTGTATGTGCATGTCGACAACTGGAGGCAGAAGCTCTATGGTCTAAGTAGCTGTCCGTGTGCATGTCGACAACTGGAGGCAGAAGCTCACCAGGTGTGATCTAAGTAGCTGTTTATGTGCATGGTGACAAGTGGCGATAGAAGCTCACCTGGTATGGTCTAAGTAGTTGCCTGTGTGCATTGTGACAACTGGCGATAGAAGCTCACCTGGTATGGTCTAAGTAGCTGTCTGATAGCTAAGCTAACGTGGTCTTTTCAGCTACACAATGGTCAATATCACATACAACCGCCAGGTATATGATGTCAACTGACATGACATTTGTATTACATCCAACAACCAAATATATTAGACCAGAGGCCAGGCAAGAAACATCAACATTCAGCTGAATTCTAACTGAAACAATAAAAGTAGGAGTTTAAATTGTCCCTATGTACCGTGCATCTTCACACAACGTGAACGACGCACAAGTGCTTATTCTGTGACACAGACAAGTTACTGTCTAATGTATAACTGCACGCCCTCGACAAGCAGGAAGAAGAAGAATTGAAATACAAGCCATGGCGACATGTACAGATCGGGAGCATTGTGCAAGCGCTACTTACACCATACAAAACCACCACTACATTGATGTATGTGTAAATGCTGTATGGCGTAGGTTCTTCTACAGGTCAAGAAAACCCTACACTAACTTCACCATATTTGGTGAGACAATAACAATTGTCAATGCTTGCATATGTAATAAAATGTACACATCCGCACACAATGTGAACAATTATGGATACAACTTCATAGTGATATAAACGGTATCTTTTTGTTTCAAGCATTCAAGCATCTACTTTGAACTACATATGTCTTGCCATTTACGCAAGATTGATCACTATGCGTCTAAAGTCAGTCATGGCGTCTCATGATCCTCGAGATGCTCCAATGCCTGGTGTGACTGGCCTCCAGTACAATGCGTCCAAGAACCACGCTGTAGCGTTATTAGTATTCAATATGAATGTTTTTAATAATCATAACAGAAGTCAATGAGACAAACCTTAACGAGTAGGCAATACCAACTTATAAATTACACAGGTTTCAATACAGTTTCACTGGTTCCTACACCGTGTTGTAACATCACATACTTTATAGAAACGAGGGATCCATCTGTTTTTTTCTGAAGATAAAACATAAACACTAGAAGATGTATCACTTTGAGCACAGTCCGAGTTCTGGAAGAGATGCTGCAAATGAAGCATTGTTTGCTTTATCACTGAGTCCGAGTTTGCCTCATGGCGGCTTCGTAGCTGGGAGGAGGCGAGTGACGGTTTGGTTCTATATCCTCATACTTGGGGGGCTGAGGGATCGACGAATAGCGGGGGTGTACAGCTCGGTCAGACCCTAACAAATATGCTCTCTCGTCATCATGTGCATTGTATCTGCTGGTGGAGCTCGTTGTGGAAGTCTCACCCCACTGTTTATTGACGATGATGCTTAGAACCGCTCCAATCATGAACGGCCCCATGAAAAATATAACAAAATAGATCCAGATTCTGGGTTCACATACAGTGTCAAGTCCAGCATTCTTGCCATAGGGACCTGCACCCATGTGGTACACGATGTAAGGCGTTCGAGAATATTGCAGTGCGTATTCACATGCTGACTCGTCATTAGTGCATAGCCGCGTGGCTTTAGTCACGTCGTATAACGTCCTGTCTAAAGATAACTTGACACGCAAGAAAGCTGCATCTGACGTTCTACGGTACACAATAAAATAATCATTGGTTCGGTTAACCATAAACGTGAAAACATCTGCCACATCACTGCCGGAACAGTGTGTCTTCGTCAGCAAACGTTTATGGAGGAAACAGTGATGACACAACATATTTTTGGACCAGCGTTCCCAGTTAGCGGCACCGGCTATCACGTATATCCAAACATCAGCTTCTGAACACGATCGCAGTTCCACCTGGGACCCTCTGAGGAGATAGAACCTCCAGTAGATGTAATCATTTCTAAACGTTGTCTTCAGGTCTGTAGAATAGGTTTCAGAAGAGAAACTGTCTATTTGCGGTGCTTCGTCAAACGAATATGTTGTTATGACCGACTTGGAATTTATCATCAGTTTCGAACAAAATATTGATGAGATTTTGTGGGTGATGACACGCATGTCTGTTGGAGACGGGGAGCTGTGCCCAGTGCCGTACATCGCAACGCTGAAGATGATCCCCGTGGCGACGCTGAGCACACACAGCCATCCCCAGAGGTACTTGATACGGGTGGTTGGTTCCATCGCATAGCAGCAGAGAACCGACCCAATGCATGCGCCACAGCAAAGGGTGGAGAGGCAGTCCTGACACGCCTGCCTAGTGCCAGGGCAGCATCTCCTGCCGTTCCTGTCGTTGCTGTCAGATGCCGCATCATTCCCACTGGAACCTGCGTCTCCCCGTCCTGCCGCTGAATCAGGCTGGATGTCAGTGAACGCGAAGGCAGCTGAATCACGACCAGCCGCTCTGTCAGTCATGATCACTTCGTCTAAACATAGAAGAAATAACAGTTTGTGAGAAATCATTCAAGAAAACTGAACATGGACGACACCGTATAGGATAGGTAATTGCACGTAGCGACTTTTTGATGTCTTACACCATTATCAAACGAAGGTGTTATCTCTGTGTTACACTTTTTTATCCAATATCTGTAGTAACCCTGAAGCTTATCAACAGCAGAGCAAGTATAACTCTCATTAGTTGTACAGAAAGACCGATGCCGAGAATGAATACCACAAGCACGCAGGTAATTACCTTACAAATATAGTACAGAGAAAAGGTTGAACAAGCTGACAGGATACTTATGAAAATAGTTAAACTAATTGTGTACTAAGATAAGGATACAATATAGAGTAGTTGCTTGTTCAAGAGCTGTTCTGGTAGTAAGGAGAAGTACAAAGAAGTCTCTAGCGTGTAACCAATACATCTACCGACATACAGGTGCAGTGATGGCCTACTGCAAAACCAGAAGTTATTCTGTCTCCACCTTAACTCAGTTAGCATAACGTAAAGTAAGCTGAAGTAAGTTGATAATTTAGTCACCTGTCACAGCTCACCCCCATACATATATTTGTCGAATGGTACATCCCAAAGACTTACTACCCGTGACAATGCACAATGCTGATGCGGGTTAGATCTGGTCTTGAGCAAGCAATGCTTGTACCCCGTGAAGGTCCGTTTCAGGAATGGTCTTGAACAACCCATTCTTGTTTTAACAGGGTCGAGTGTCAGGCTTGCTGACTTGGTTGACACATGTCATCGTATCCCAGATGCGTAGATAGATGCTCATGCTATTAATCACTGGATTGTCTGGTCCTGATTCGATCATATACAGACTGCCACCATTAAGCTATAGTCGCTGAGTGCGGCGTTAAACATCCAACAAACACAAAGAATAAGCTATCTGAGACGTTTGATACAAAATGAAACAGTTGGCACTAGAATAAATATAACATCTATCGTTAAACGAAGTACATGTTATAGACACAGGGCATCTCATCACGTCTCTCGTGCAGCACGCAACACGACTCAGTGTGTGTGTCTTCTGAGGACGTAAGTCGTGCATATCATGTAACTGAGTGACCTCCGTCATGATCTAGATGTTGACCCTGTCGTCCCAGCCAGGTGACAATACACGGGAAGCAGCTGACTGGTACACGGTTCGCACTGATATTGGGAGGCGTTTTTCGTTAGTACAATATTCATAGCGATGGGGACCTTGAATGAAGCATTTATGATAGAAATTAGACATTTAGCGTTTAGCAAAAATATACAAAACAAGCCCAGAACATATTGTTACGTAAATTTACTTAATTGAATCATTTTGTCAAACCGATAAAGTGTAACATTAAAATAATACTCACCGGAATTAGTGCAGTCGCCAAATTGTGTTGTCTGCTATCACAGAGGCTTCCTATCCCAGTTCGTCATTGTGTGGAGGCAATATACATCACTTCTTGGTTGTAATCCTCAAAGCGACATATACATGTATCAAGCGCGTTAACCCCAACATGAGACTCGCGGGACGAAATCTAGTTTCATATCAAAGTCTTGCATACCATCACGTGGTCTTCTGTGGCACAGTACGCTTACAACACTTTGTGTATCGCCGACAGAAAAACGCCGGTTGACTAAAGATCCAGTTTGGGGAATGACGTCCCCTCCTAGCGCACCCTCGCGCCATGGCCTGTAGCGAATGATTGAAATGAACAATTATTGTTAATAATAAATGTTAATAAATTAAATTAAATTTCCAAGTAGCAACATATGTATTATGATGACTGGTACTATATTGCTGACATAGGGGCGGCAACATCTGTCTGTCTACTCATTGTGCAGCACCATGTTGTATCAGCCAGCCAGCAATATGAACTCGTATCTATCAGTATCCCGGTGTTAAGTTTCATTAGATGATATATATTTTTCTGTGAGCGTTATGAACAGGCTACTGTAGTAGGTAACCTATAATGTTTATCATGTGTCACTCGAACTGATTGTATTGAAAGAATGAGTGAGTGTGGTTTTACGCCGCTCTTTTGCAATATCCCGGAAATGTCACTGCTGGGACATCAGAAATGGACTTCACATATTGTACCCATGTGGTAAGCATGCCCTACCCTACAGGTAACGCCCGTTTGCCTTAAGAAAATACGTGTTTAGTGCTGACAGACAGCCAGGATCAAAGCGGATTTGGGAATATATAACAGGATCTGGTACTTTCTGTAACATACGTTCACCCAGATGATATCATGTACATTAAGGTTAAAATATACCCGTAATAGGAACCCTCCCCTGCATGCTTTGGAGTATGTAAAAGAGACTAGGATGACAGTAAATTCCTTCACCGCTCACTGAATACACGGTGCCATTTAGAAATTGGTCAAATGTAACACTTGTTATGTTTCTAGGAAAGTACGGATTCTAGTACTTTTGCTAGGTTGAGTCCCATCCGGGATTCAAACCGACACTCTCTGAGTCAGGCACCTAATCGCCACATCAGCCGCCTTATCCGCTCAGCAAGTGCAAGCCGCGGTGGCTGAGCGGGTTAGGCGGCTGACTCTGTGTGCTGGCGATTAGGTGCCTGACTCTGAGGCTATAGCATATGTATCATATGTTTGCTATTAAAGTGTGCTACCTGGGGTGTAGGAGATGGAATAAGACAGACATCTACAATCAGTCGTTCTAAAACTCCGCTCATTAGTGTTTGTTTGTTTTATGCCACCTGCAATATTCCACCTATATGATGGCGGTCTTTACAAAATCGAGTCTGAACCTGAAAATCCAGTGACTGACATCATGACGTCGATCTACGCAACTGGGAACCGATGACATGTGTCAACCAGGTCAGCGTGCCTGACCACCCAATCCCGTTCGTCGCCTCTTATGACAAGCATGGGTTACTGAAGATCAATTCTAACTGGGTCCTGTTGTGTGAAATTAGAGAATCTGCGTCAGGTATCATATGGACTAAGTGGTAAAATATAGTCGGAAAAGTATTTTGCATCTTGAAATTATTCATGTATAGCCATGTGCAGATATTTCTCGCAAGAGCCCTCAATGTGGTTCCAAATATTTCGCCTGAAATTCACGGAGATAATATTACCTTTCCTGTTTCTACAGACGTATGCCGAGCTCTGTGTTCGCCCTAGGATACATGTAGGGTTTATGCGACATATACTGACACGGTTACTATAGTATAGTTCATTTCAAAGTGAAACAAATCAGCACTGATATTCCCTTCCATTCTTATAGCAAATGACGGGACTGAAACTTCACGAATAACACTTGATATACTCGTACCGCTACATAAAATATCATGATTCGCAATTACATCCTGGACGATGATTAAACGTAAAAGTGCAAAATCAGGCAGTAATAATAACAAAAACTAACACGTTCTCGTTGTTCCTGCCTACACAATATTGTGGTGGGGTTAGAATCAACAGCAGATTAGTGGTAGTAACCTAATGGACACTAAACATACGACTGTGACGTCATAGTGTGGATGCTATACGTGTTGATGCTTCATCAAAGCACCACGTACAGCTGAGGTGTGTCAAGACGTTGGTGTATCACGCCACTGTGCCAGCAGGGTGGATGTAGCCACACTTTGTATGTATTTCATGGTGTGTCAGGTAGGCGTGGTGGTGGGTAGTTGTGGGTGGAGCAAGACGTGGTACAGGACGAAGACGCAGACCATTTTGATTCATTGATTGAGTGAGTTTAGTTTTACGCAACTTTTAGCAATATTACTGCAATGTCACGGCGGGGGACACCAGAAATGGGCTTCACACATTGTACCCATGAGGGGAATAGAACCCGGGTCTTCGGCGTGACGAGTGGACGCTTTAACCACTAGGCTACCCCACATCCCCACACTGACACAACATTGAAATGATCGCGGCCAAGAAATCTCCACCAACTGAACGAAGGAATGAACCTGTTGTTATTCGTCCATACCTTCATGTCCATGGGGCCGCCTCTGTGGTGTAGTGGTTAGAGCGTCCGCCAGGAGAGCGGAAGGTCGCGGGTTCGATCCCCGACCGCGTCATACCAAAAGACGTTAAAATATGGTACTTGTTGGTCCCCGCCTGGCGCTCGGCATTAAATGGGTACAACAAGGACTGGTCGGTTCGGAGTCAGTATAATGTGTCTGAGTGAGGTATTCATGCTTCACTGCGGCATGGTATCTCAGTGGGCTAGCACTATAAAACCAGCGTAAGTCTGGGCTAGTACAAGCAGCCGCACATACACATACACACGCATGCACGTCGTCATATGAGCGAAATATTCTCAAGTACGACGTGAAACCCAATTTCACCTCACCTCAACTCATGTCCATGGGTAGGTTCTAATCTGATACATGTATGTTGCCTCGCGGCTGTATGCGGCATGGTGATCTATAATTAAGATTTCACAAGACGTCCGTCGTTCCTCGCGTTATTGTTCTTAGTTCCTTCGACGACAGTGAGAATCGATTGTCACAGGATCAAAACCTGTATTCACACACACACACACTCATCCAGTACCGACACGGTAAAAGTGGGAGACGGTGCACTGCTTTTATGTTCCCAGAGAGCATCTTTACATCAATAGGAGTTGAATGATACATTTGTAAAATATCCATTTAATTGCTGGAAACAGGAAGGCAGCTATTTTCCTCTTGTGTGGTTTCCAATCTAACGATGGGAGATTGTTGTTTACTGTCTGAATGTTCTGTCTGTCAACTGACAGCAACGGAAACATTAGCAAAAGGCAACTCTGCCAGAGGTTTTGTTAGGCTTTAAGATGCTCGGGGCGCAGTTGGCTTAGCCTCAATAATTCACAGTGAAGAGTTGCGTTGGTTGGGCCCGTAAGTCCTAGGTTCGAATCCCGCTTCGCCCCTATGACGTTGCAAGGTTTGTCAGCGCCATATCCGTGTTTGTGGGTTTCACCAAAATACTACACGTCCTTTAACAACAAACTTGATAAACTGGAATACTGTTCAAAGAGGCGTTAGAACCTACTCACTTACTCACTCACTCACGATGCTCCAGTTTGATGCATGAGTAATGGAGTGTCGTATAATGCCGCTGTTACCAAGCCTTTCAGTCGCCGGGGCCAGATATCCCTGTAGATCCTTGAATCTTTGCACAATACAACTGTCTATGGCGGTTACCCCGTCCATATATTGTTATCATCCATACTATGGGTCGAACATACACCAAAGATACATCGTTAGGAGCATTCCTTGCTGTGTGATTCAAATATAGGCTTTCTGAACCCTAACTTCAGTATAGTCATGTTTTAAGTGTCCACGCTATCCCCCCAGTTCCTAGAGCGCCAGTGACAATCAACGTCAGGACTGGGACAGTGGTGAGCGGTGTTTGGTGTTACCGAACAGCTGACACTATTTCCCAACCAATTTCGCTCATGTGCCACCGAATTGAATTGAACTGAACCTTTCGATATATCTCATATCAGCCAGCGCTCTGTAGCAGCAGGTTGCCTGAGCTCTGAGTAATTTCTCAAATTAGCTTCCCAACATTGCAATTTGGCATGAATAACCATAAGGGCATCAAGAAGCAAAACGTGAATTTTAACATCTGTGTTTGATGAGAGAAATTTGCGTTTTGCTGACGTGTTTTTGCTCTTTGTATCAATGACCCGTGAAGATCCGGGGTAGAATAGGTCTTCAGCAACCCATGCTTGCCACAAAAGGCGACTATGCTTGTCGTAAGAGGCGAGTAACGGGATCGGGCGGTCAGGCTCGCTGACTTGGTTGACACATGTCATCGGTTCCCAATTGTGCAGATCGATGCTCATGCTGTTGATCACTGGATTTTGTGGTCCAGACTCGATTATTTACAGACCTCTGCCATATAGCTGGGATATTGCTGAGTGCGGCGTAAAACTAAAGTCACTCACTCTTTGTATCAATAATGTGAATTTTCCAAGTCCTGTAACAATGACCACCCAAGCCCTCAAGGCAGCCATGTCCACACCCATGGGAAAGACAATGGGACCCAATCTAGTCCCCATTGTCTAGAGCATGGACCAGCTTACATCACTCAGAAGAGCCCTGATTGCTGTCAACAACAAAAAGCTGGATCAGTTAAATGAAACCACTGATATCATACATTCCAAGAGAAAGGTCAAGAAAAGTGGCCATCACACTGTCAAGAAAAGTGGCCATCACACTGTCAGGAAAAGGGGCTGCAGGGCAGACAGAAAAATCCTTAGGCCCATTTCTGTTATTCTAACTAAACCCAAGCTCGGAGATATACATCAGCGTGGTGTAAATCCAAGCACCCTCGGGACCGTAGCTACGGTGAAAAACCCTCCAAGGACAGTTGTACCATTGACGTTGTTCTCTGTGAACTGTCGATAGGTAAAGACTAAGATGCTATCGATTGCAGATGTGATCACTTCACATAACATCGATATCCTAACAGAAACATGGTTGGGTACCGAATTGATGATCACGTCACAGCAGAGCCTGTACGTCCAGGATACGCCATACTGCATGTAGTCAGGATAGGCAAACGTGGAGGAGGCGCTGCAGTATTACACAGAAGAGGACTGATTGTGAACAAAATCATCACTCCTTGTTATGATCAGGTATTCACACATTTTGAACACATTGATTGTTCTGTCCAGACAGATGGAAAACGGTTCATACTGTGTGTAATATATCGCCCTCCA